GATGATAAAGGTGTCCTCTGGTGGTTAATGGGGTGACGGCTGCCAGAGATGATGGTCTGGACCTATTTCCCGAATCATCCAACCTGGGCGGACTCCTACAATGCTGGGCTGAGATGTGGAGGCTCAGTGCCAGGTAATAGAGATGAAAACGCTCATGGTGTAATATTGTGAAATGTATTTATTAGGGTATATATCATTATGGTAAACAGTAAACGTACAGGGTGATAATAACCTATACAAGTATAGTGTAAATGAGCTCTTGAATACACTGACCAGTGGATAAAAATGGTGGCCACCGGACCTCCTGATCACTCTGCCTGACAGTAGTGCAGGTTTGTCTAGTGCCGGGTGCAGGAATGCAGGGAGCACCCCAGCACATGGCTTCTTGCTGCCGCTATGAGGGTTTTGGGCTACTAAAGTTTGCCCTGATATATTGAGCATTATTAGACTTTACAACAACAGATTGATGGTAGCAGCACTTTTTATCTTATCACGCTGTTGCTGTTGGTTGCTCTGGCACCCCCCCCCCATTCACCTGCAACACCTTGGGCTCCTGCCCTTTCTTCTCACCTCTGCACTCTATGTCTATGATTTAACATAACACCCAGATCTTTACACTTTCCATTGATAAATATTCAACATTTACCACATTATTGCCCCGTTAAACAGTGTATTGAGGGCTGCTTGTATGTTTGAGAGATCCTGTAAGGATGTTATTCATTACACTTTATAGCTTGATGTCATCTGCAAACACTGAAATTATATTTTTATTCCCAAACTCTATATCACCAAATAGGTTACAAAATAAGGGTCCCAACACTTAATCTTGGGGTACACCACTAATAACCTTGAACTATTCAAATTGTGAATCATTAATCACTGCTCTCTAAATACGATCTTTTAGCCAGATTTCTTTCTATGTAAAACTGAATTTTCTAAGCCTGTAGACTTTATATTCCAGTAATGTTTACTTAAATAACAAGATACCATAGTACAAAGTACATCAATAAAACTGCAGTGCAAGAACAACTTTTGCAAAAGTATACTATATCCACAGCTACTCACTTGTATTTTTGCTTACTTTGTCATAAAAAAAAATCAGATTTGTACGACAAACTCAATCTTCTATTAACCGCTTCCGGACCACTCACAATATACTGTGAAATACTGTGGGCAGGTAGCATGAGCAAGCTAAAACGTTTGTACCTGTACATCGCTTAGCAAAAGCGCACTGGCAATCCCCTTGGGGGGTGTGCAGAGAGCTGCTCCTGTGATCTCTGTGTCTACCAGACACAGCAGATTGCAGATCCTGGTAACCGACCACTATGATCGGCCAGGGTGTCACGTGATCGCAGTGGACACAGTGGGTTGCAGATCTCATTAAACTGGCTGCTATGATTGGGTGTCATGTGATCACTTTGTTATTACATGACATGATGTCAAAACAACTGTTATGAATGAGTTTTATTCATAACAGTTGTGCTTAGTTTTGTGATGCTGTGATTGGCCCAATCACAGCTCCCTGTATGTACCATGTGATCACAATACTAAGCACATCTGTTATGAATGTAAGCTGTCCATAACAGTTCAAAACATTGCTGCTACAGTGATCATAATTGTAACAGCAATCAAAGTGTAAAAAAAAAAAAAATCCCTGATCACCCCCCCAGAGTAGCGCAGTGTCACCATGGTGACACTGAACTAAGCTGATGACAAGATGTAAAAATAAATGTACCAATTGATCCTTAATAGATCTAGATTTCCTGTAGTAAATTTCTGGGCATTCCCCATTATACTTCACAACTAGAGGAACACTTGTCAATAAATGCTAATGTTTTTGTATGGCTACCCTTATCTGTTGATGTTGACTAGAAAATGTAGCCATGATCCTTGCCCTCCTGAGGATTTACCCCCCTTAATGACCAGGCCTATTTTTGCTACTCGGCGCTGCACTAATTCAACTGCACCCAAACAAAATTTACGTCCTTTTTTCACACAAATACAGCTTTCTTTCGGTGGTATTTGATCACCTGTGCGCTTTTTATTTTTCACGCAATAAACAAAAAAAGACCAAAAATTTTGAAGAAAAACAATATTTTTTACTTTCAGCTATAAAAAATATATAGTAAACTCAAAATGAGTTATAAATTTAGGCCAAAATGTATTCTGCTACATGTTTTTGGTAAAAAAAATCCCAATAAGTGTATCTTGATTGCTTTTTTGTGAACGTTATAGCGTCTACAAACTATGGTATAGATACTGCAATTTACGCCATTTTTTTGCTATACAGCGCTGCGCTAGTTTAACGGACAATTGCGCGGTCATGCAATATGGTACATACATTAAATTTATGTCCTTTTTTCACACAAATAGAGCTTTCTTTCGGTAGTATTTGATCGCCTGTGCGTTTTTTTATTTTTTGCGCTATACGAAAAAAAAAAAAGGGTGACAATTTTGAGAAAAAAAATACAATATTTTGTACTTTTTGCTATAAAACATGTCCAGTAAAAAAAAATTTTAAAATCAAATTTTGTCAGAAATTTTGGCCAAAATGCATTCTGCGACATGTCTTTGCTAAAACAAAACCTAATACGTGTAAATGAATTGGTTTACGTGAAAGTTATAGCGTTTACAAATGGCGGGAAAGATACTCGGATTTTTAATTTTTTTATACTAATAATGGCGGCGATCAGCGACTTATGGCGGCAATCAGTGACTTATGGCGGCAATCAGCGACTTATGGCAGGATTGCGGCAGACATTCTGACACTGGGGTGGAACTGACTTAGGGTCACTGACATCCCCAGTGACACCAATACAGTGATCAGTGCAAAAAAAAAAAAACACTGGGGAGGAAGGGATTAACATTTTTTTTGCACTGAAAGGGTTAACTGTGTGAGGGGAGTGTTTTACTAGGGGGCGGTGGTGTGTACTGCAGGGAGACATGCTGATCGAGACAGAGAAACTCTTTTCTCCTGGTCTGCTTGTCAGGAACTGTCAGGGAACTGACAGAAAGCAGAGCTACTGCAGCCCTGCTCTCTGTCACTGAACGCTGGGACACAGCTGATAATAACCGGCTGTGACCTGGCGACTGACACCCGTGGCTGAGATCGGCGGTGAAGGTAGGGCGGCGGCGCGCTTCACGCGCCCCCTACCTGTTTTTGAACAGCACGTTTTAAAACGTGCTTTTGCCCAGCCGTGCCGCCCTGCCACCTTTTTTATACAGTGGCTGGGCGGCTAGTGGTTAAGAAAGGACTGTTATAGTTTGTTTTTCTGGGAAGTCTACAACTTACTCTGCCTTTGGGAGTGGAGTGCCATTCTGCAGGTATTACATGCACTATATTGCCAAAAGTACTGGGACGCCTGCCTTTGCACGCACATGAACTTTAATGGCATCCCAGTCTTAGTCTGTAGGGTTCAATATGGCCCACCCTTTGCAGCTATACCAGCTTCAACTCTTTTGGGAAGGCTATCCACTAGGTTTAGGAGTGTGTCTATGGGAATACAGATATATAAGGTGCAGCGCTAAATAAATATATGTAAATAAAAATATATTAATATGTATATCCATTATATAGTAAAAAAAAAAATTTAAATAAAAAAGTTCATGTAATATATCCAACGGATGAACAATTCATCAGCAGATTTCAAACAGGCTTGTGTCAGGAACCAATAGTAAAAGTGCGCACTCACCGAAAGCGCATAGGTAATGCGCATATAATTTAAATAGGTGGGATATATGGTGAGCTTCCATCTATGGATTGGTCATCAAGTCTTGGGATAGTGTGGAAATCTGCTGGGTCCAGAGGTCCCCTTAAGGATGGATGGGTGCTCAGCCTGGATACAGGGATCCCTTCCTCTGGATGTTGAAATTCAATTGGGGGTAACCTGCAGGTTTAATAGCTCCAGGTGGAGTCAAGAAACAGGTGCCCATAGTGTAGTATATTAAAAGACTTTTATTCCAGTAAATGTAAAAAGTGACAGGGTAGTATTGCACAATAACTACAAAATTAATGCAGAGTCAAGCAGCACTGACCCTAATTAAAGATGGCCGCTGGGCTTCCTCATGGCTCTGAGCGCTCACTATATTCATCTTATTTATGTGTTTGTGACCATTCTTCCAGAATCGAATTTGTGAGGTCAGGCACTAATGTCGAACGAGAAGGTCTGGCTTGCAATCTCTGCTGTAATTCATCCCAAAGGTGTCCTATCGGGTTGAGGTCAGGACTCTGTGCTGGCCAGTAAAGTTCCTCCACTTCAAACTCGCTCATCCATGTCTTTATGAACCTTGCTTTGTGCACTGGTGCACAGTCATATTGGAACATGAAGGGGACATCCCCAAACTGTTCCCACAAAGTTGGGAGCATGAAATTGTCCAAAATGCCTTGGTATGTTGATTGGCACTAAGGGGCCAGGCCCAACCCCTGAAGGACAACCACACGCCATAATCCCCCCTCCACCAAACTTTACTACACTTGGCACAATGCAGTCATGCAAGGTACCATTCTCCTGGCAACCGCCCGAACCCAGACATGCCCATCAGATTGCCAGACAGAGAAGCATGATTCATCACTTCAGAGAACATGTCTCCACTACTCTAGAGTCCAGTGGTGGCGTGCCTTACACCACTGCTTCCGACACTTTGCATTGCACTTGCTGTTGTAAGCCTTGGATGCAGCTGCTTGGCCATGGAAACCCATTCCATGAAGCTCTTTACACACTGTTGTTGTACTAATCTGAAGGCCACATGAAGTTTGGAGGTCTTTAGCTATTGACTCTGCAGACAGTTGGTGACTTCTGTGCACCGTGTGCGTCAGTAAGCTCTGACACTGCTCTATCATTTTAAGTGGCCTACCACTTTGTGGCTGAGTTACTGTTGTTCCCATTTGTTTCCTCTTTGTTATAATACCACTAACAGTTGACTGTGGACTATTTAGTAGCAAGGAAATTTCATGGATGGACTTATTGCACAGATGGCAACCTATCAAAGTACCACGCTTGAATTCACTGAGCTGCTGAGAGCAACCCATTTTTCTTTCACAAATGTTTGTAGAAGCAGTCTGCACACCTAGGTGCTTGATTTTATACACCTGTGGCCATAGAGGTGATTGGAACACCTGAATCCAATGGTTTGGAGGGGTGTCCCAATACTTTTGGCAATATAGTGTAGATGCCAACATTCCGGGACACTCACGGATTTCTGACAGCTGTCATGGACTGTCATTGTCCCGAAAATTTAGATTTTTCACAGACATGAGAGCTCAGAGCTGTCCTGTCAAGACTGATTCGAGTCACGAGTGTGCTGTTGGCTACATTGTTAGAAAACAGCCATGGCCAGGCCATATCATGTCTGTGCACTTGAGATTGATTACTTCCCCCCCCCGTCCATCCTCATCCTCCCCCCACCCTCCCCCTGCCAATCAGTAATGACAGGAAGTCATGTGATGCCCTCTTTTACATGATTGGTCGTTTCTCTGTGGTGGTGTGGCCAGCCGAGGAGCAAGGGTGTGAGGCAGAGGAAGGTGAACAGAGCGGACTCTGGACTAGCCAGGACACACACACAGTTGGGGACCAGGCAGAGGATGCAGGACTTGGTGCAGGGACAAGAGGAGACAGACACCTGGCCAGCAGAGGACAGATGTGCAGCTGAGAGCAGATTTTTGGGAGTGTTTCTCAGAGAGTGTTTGGGAGTGGAGGTTAGGTCTATGATCTGACATAGGAGCAAATTTATTTTGTTGGAGGGGGGGAGCAGAGAGTGGGAGTTGTCTAATTTGGCTGTGAGAGTGAGTCTCTGTTTTTTTTTTGGGGGGGGGGATCACCTGAGAGGAGTGAGATTTTTTTTTTCTTGCAGAGGGGAGCAGCAGGTGGGAGGTTGTCTCATTTGGCAGTGATAGAGGCATGAGTGTATTTTTTGAGGGGGTTTTTTGGGTGGGATGTAACGGTTCCCCCCCAACTCCTGTACTACGCCTGCAGTCTCTTACCCCCCTCTCCTGTACTACTCTTGCAGCCTCTGGACAACTCTTGTACTATGCCTGCAGTTTCTGGCCAACTCCTGTACTACTCCTGCAGTGTCTGACCCTCTCCTGTACTATGCCTGCAGTCTCTGACCAACTCCTGTACTACTCCTGCAGTCTCCGACCCTCTCCTGCACTACTTATGCAGTCTCTGACCCACACTGTACTATACTATACTTTGACCAACTCTTTTACTACGCTTGCAGTCTTAGAGCTTTTGGTAAGAGGCTTTCAATTTTCTGAGTGGCACGCATGGGGTGCGATTTGGAAGCACAAGACCCTTTTTCATTTATTTCATGCACAGATTGAGCACGATTTTTTGCACATGAGTTTTGGTGGATGGACTATTATATATTTTTATTTTTTATTTTTTTTATAATTGAGTGGACTTTTTTACTGTAATTTATTATTGTTAGATTTATGTACTTTAATGAATTATCTTATTTATTTATCTAAATAGCATAACATTTTGTTTAACTTAGCTTTATCCAGTGGTTCGGATGGATGGGTGTGGCAGGAGTTGTTATCCCCTAGAAGGTATGGACAAGAGGCAACACCAAGATGAGTGTAGGCAGTGGTGACTACCGAGCATGATTCAGATTCCCAGCCACCCCTTTGAAGGGTTAATTTCCCTCAGGGTAGATGGGGGTAGGGAAGGGTGGGGAGGAATGGGGTTTTTTTTCTCATTTTTTTCTCCTTTCCTTTTCTCCTTTCCTCTACCCCTTCTCTCAGGACCTATACAGGAAGCGGATGTGGTAGCTGCTCCACTGGTTGTCTATGGCTCTGGTAAATTTAGTGACTTATAATGTTCAGGGGCTGAACACCCCCAGTAAAAGGTATAGAGTAAACAAAGAATTGCAGCAGTATGCTGCTAATATACAGTCAGGTCCATAAATATTGGGACATCGACACAATTCTAACTTTGTTTGCTCTATACACCACCACAATGGATTTGAAATGAAACAAACAAGATGTGCTTTAACTGCAGACTGTCAGCTTTAATTTGAGGGTATTTACATCCAAATCAGGTGAACAGTGTAGGAATTACAACAGTTTGCATATGTGCCTCCCACTTGTTAAGGGACCAAAAGTAATGGGACAGAATAATAATCATAAATCAAACTTTCACTTTTTTAATACTTGGTTGCAAATTCTTTGCAGTCAATTACAGCCTGAAGTCTGGAACGCATAGACATCACCAGACGCTGGGTTTCATCCCTGGTGATGCTCTGCAAGGCCTCTACTGCAACTGTCTTCAGTTCCTGCTTGTTCTTGGGGCATTTTCCCTTCAGTTTTGTCTTCAGCAAGTGAAATGCATGCTCAATCGGATTCAGGTCAGGTGATTGACTTGGCCATTGCATAACATTCCACTTCTTTCCCTTAAAAAACTCTTTGGTTGCTTTTGCAGTATGCTTTGGGTCACTGTCCAT